AAGGGTTACTGCAGACTATTTGCTGTTAATGACTTGTGACTGCTCTCAGAGAAGCCGCAGCCAGCACAGCCCCCTTCCCAGCCCAAGGCTGAGGATGTGGGGAACACCAGCCCAGCTGCTGGCTGGGGAAACCAGACCCCAGTGCTCCAACCTTGCATGCTGCCTGCAGCAGGGAGGGCTCTGTCCTTGCTACCAGGGCATGGGTTTACACTGCTTTTCCTGTCCAAAGCGATGGGGCTGTGCTGCTCAAGAGCATGCCAGGAGATGCTGCTGTGTGCCTCGGCAGCAGAGTCCAGATCAGAGATGTAGGATAATCTATAAGAAAAAAGGAATGGGACACAGTTCCAACTGCTACGTGCTCCTGACAGCAGCCAGGTCTCTGAAGGCATGGGGAGAAGGTGTCTCTGCAGTGGCATCAGAGCAGTGCCCAGTGTGAACGACTCCTGCCTTGGTGCAGCAGCAGGCACCAGTCAGGCTGAGCCCAAGGCTCCGGTCACGGCCACGGGGAGCAGCGCCAGAGCCCTGTGCAGCAGAACGAGCGCCTGGACATGCTCCAGGAATTGGTGCAGCCGGGTGCTGGCTCACACTTTCCCTTCCAGCTGACACGGGTGCATGCTGGGAGGGGAAGGGCAGGGGAGGACTGCCCCTGCGGATCAATATAGCCAGAGCATTAGTGGTAAGCAGGGAAAATTAATCTCTGGAGACAGTGTGCTGGATAATGGGTAACAGAAATCTCCCCTTTGCAGCTGGAGCCAGGAGCTGATGTTTGGACTCCTGACCACCAGGCAGGGCAGAGAGAGGACTCAGGATGCAGCCAAAGGAGAACGTGAGCCGGGGCAAGCAGAGTGGGGCCATATGCCCCAGGGGATAGCAGGGCACTGGCAGAGCCAGACAGAGAGTGCACAAAGGTGTTCCCAGACAGTGGACCCCATGCCCACATGGGCTAAGAGGAAGCAGAGCAGCACCAGCAGCAGAGCTGAAGCACTCACCACACACCTGACTTGCCAAGAAACCAATACAGCTGGGGGAGAGTGGGACACATGGAGCCTCTGAAACTGTTTATTGCAAAGGGTTTCTGCAGGTAACACGGGGAAGGAGCACGGTCCTTTTTGGCAGGGGCTTCTCTACTCCTCGCCCTCCTCATCATCCTCGTAGGAGTCCAGGCCCACCTCCTCATAATCCTTCTCCAGAGCGGCCATGTCTTCCCGTGCCTCGGAGAACTCCCCTTCCTCCATACCCTCGCCTACGTACCAGTGCACGAAGGCTCGCTTGGCGTACATCAGGTCAAACTTGTGGTCCAGGCGAGCCCAGGCCTCGGCGATGGCCGTGGTGTTGCTCAGCATGCAGACAGCACGCTGCACCTTGGCCAGGTCCCCCCCTGGCACCACTGTGGGTGGCTGGTAGTTGATGCCCACCTTGAAGCCTGTGGGGCACCAATCCACAAACTGGATGCTGCGCTTGGTCTTGATGGTGGCGATGGCGGCGTTGACATCCTTGGGCACCACGTCCCCGCGGTACAGCAGGCAGCAGGCCATGTACTTGCCGTGGCGAGGGTCACACTTCACCATCTGGTTGGCAGGTTCAAAGCAGGAGTTGGTGATCTCAGCCACTGACAGCTGCTCATGGTAAGCCTTCTCTGCAGAGATGACAGGGGCGTAGGTGGCCAGGGGGAAGTGGATGCGAGGGTAGGGCACCAGGTTGGTCTGGAACTCAGTCAGGTCGACGTTCAGGGCTCCATCAAACCGCAGCGATGCTGTGATGGATGAGACGATCTGGCTGATGAGTCTGTTCAAGTTGGTGTAGGTTGGGCGCTCGATGTCCAGGTTCCTACGGCAGATGTCGTAGATGGCCTCGTTGTCCACCATAAAGGCGCAGTCCGAGTGCTCCAGAGTGGTGTGTGTGGTGAGGATGGAGTTGTAGGGCTCCACCACAGCAGTGGAGACCTGCGGTGCAGGGTAGATGGAGAACTCCAGCTTGGACTTCTTGCCGTAGTCAACAGAGAGTCGCTCCATCAACAGGGAGGTGAATCCAGAGCCAGTTCCTCCTCCAAAACTGCGAAACACAAGGAAGCCCTGGAGTCCCGTGCACTGGTCAGCCTGTGGAAAGAGAAAGCCAAGTAAGATATCTCCAAGCAATGAGTTTGTTGGAGGGAAGTTTCAAACTTTCGCTTGGGCAGACACAGATCCCTCCCAGAGCTCAGCAGGGCTCCTACCCCCAGCAGGATGCTGGAGCCCAGCCCAGGGGCACTTTGAAACACAAGGAAGCCCTGGAGCCCTGTGCACTGGTCAGCCTGTGGAAAGAGATACATGAGATTGCTCTGAGATGGATTTCCTTGTGAATACCTGACTGTTCAGAAGTCCTTCAGGACCTGATCTGTCCCTGCCATGGGCAGTTGCAGACCTTTCCCAGGGCTCAGCAGGGCTTGCAGGATGCTGGAGCCCAGCCCAGGGGCACTTGTCCCCTCTCTGTGGTCACCTACCAGCTTTCGGATCCTGTCCAGCACTTGGTCGATGATTTCTTTGCCAATGGTGTAGTGCCCACGGGCGTAGTTGTTGGCAGCATCCTCCTTGCCAGTGATCATCTGTTGAGCTGCTCAGGGTGGAAAAGCTGGCGGTAGACTCCTCCCCGAACCTCATCTAGGAGAGAGCAGCACAATGTCAGAGATTTTCTAACTGGCCCTGGGGAAAGATGGCAGGAGCCACCCTAGGGACTGTCTCACAGCAGGTTTTTTCCCAGAAATAGTGACCACTGTCACTGCCCAACTGAGGTGTACTCACCGATCACAGTGGGCTCCAGGTCCACAGGAGGTTGAGCTTGGTGCAGGCCATAGGTTGGAGGCAGCTGATTGGGAGTGAGCACCCATTCCTCGCCCTCCTCTGAGCTCCACCCGCTGGGGCACGGCCAAGGGCCCACACGTCAGCAGGGCCACCACGGGCATCAGGTTTCTCTGGCAGACAGAGGTGGCTGTCACCTCCCTGCACAGGAGGAGCTCAGCTTCTCCCACCCATTGGGAGCTGCCTGTCCAGGACACAGCAGGAGCTGCCGTGCCGGTTGGGCTGGTTTTTCTCTGTGCACATGTGGCAGCAGAGACTACCAGCACCACTGCCTCTAGGATGTTTCAGGAACAAAAGCTGGTCCTCAGGTTTGTGGCTTCTCCTGAGGGAAGGAGGGCCCTCAGGTTAACCCCAGAGCAGGATACTGCCAGCAGACCACAGCCACCAGCCACTCGCTTCAGTGCTGCACCCCAGGCCATGCACGCTCCAGCACTCACCGATCACAGTGGGCTCCAGGTCCACAAAGATGGCCCGCGGGACGTGCTTCCCAGCCCCGGTCTCACAGAAGAAGGTGGTGAAGGAGTCATCCCCTCCACCGATGGTTTTGTCGCTGGGCATCTGCCCGTCGGGCTGGATGCCGTGCTCCAGGCAGTACAACTCCCAGACTGTGCTGTCCAAAAAAAAAGCGTGGACGGAGATGCCCTCGCGCTGGGGAGGGGGAGGCAGGGTCAGACACTGGCACAGCTCTGTCCAGTACGCCCCAGGGAGGGCTCTGCCTGGTGCCAGTGCCCCGCAGCCACCCACACAGGACCTGCCCTGGCCAGCAGCCCCAGGGAGCACATTTTCCTTTGGGCAACTTCCTGCCTCCCCATGAGGGTCCCCACACAGCTGTCATTGCCCTCAGTCATCGACCAGCAAGTGCAGGGCAGCAGGCTTTGAGCTGGAAATGTGCCTCCTGTGCTCCTATCCTGCAGGTGCAGGCCTGCTCTGCTACCTCATGCATCCCTTCTCCGCTGTCCCCAGCATCCCTGGTCCCCTGTCTCTGGCATCCCTCCTCTGCTTATCCCAGCCGGGACCACGAACGCCACCACTGCAGGTGGTGAGGTGCACAGCTCCTTGTGCAATACACACTGCCCAACAGCCTGGGTGCCTTCTGGTCATCCCAGCCTGCTGCCCTCTGCCAAACCTGTTGCTCTGCCTCCCATCACTGCAACGCCCACCTTAGGAGCCCCGGGATATGAAGATCCATGTACTGGTGTCAGGGACACCAGGCCAGCACATTCCCTGGACTGCTCCCACCCACAGCCCTGGAAAGCACTCAGGGAGCATCTCCTTTGCCCAGCACCCACTCGGCTTAAGGACTGGAGCCTGGCAGGAGCTGCCACAGGCCCTGTTGCTACTCCAACAACAGGGCTGCGGGCTGAGGTGACAGAGCATCACCTGGGTGCTGGGAGCTGAGGAGGTGACGGCACCGAGGATGGGTGCCCAGCAAGGGGAGGGATCTGCAGCAGCGATCGGTTGCCATGCTCCGAGGCTCAGCTTTCCTAAATTAGCTCTGGAGGAGGAGGAGGAAGTCTTAGCTGCACTTCACAACTGAACTGAAGGGCTGAGGTGGGAGAGTCTCCTAGCTCAGGGCTTCGAGGGCAGCCTCAGGTCCCTCAGGGGAAGCAGGCTGAGGTGTGCTCTGCAGCCTCAACCCCTTCAGGTAGGGCATCCCAGAGACTGCAGCCCGTTCAACAAGAATCAAAATATTCACTGCCTCAGCCTGGCTGTTGCCAAGGACTTGGATGCATCATCAGGCACAACCGAGGCAGAGAAGCACCCAAACCAAACCGGATTTCCAGGACCACGGGTGCCCCGCTGTGAGTCACTGGCAGGAAGGTGGTGGCGCCAGCCATCGTGTGCTCAGGAGCACGGCAGCCACTGCCGTCTGAGGAAGACGCAAGGGTAGCAGTGAGTTCTGGCTCTGTGCATCTCGGGTGCTTTCAGTGCTGCATTTCAGAGGCAGCAGTGACAGGGAGGGATGACAGAAAACTAAGTCCTTGGTACCCATGTTGAAAGCCAGAAGACCATCCCCCCACCTTTCCCATAGCTGAGGAGCAAGGAACAACAAAGTGACACCCTCCCTTATCCCTCTCAGCAGGTCCATAAAGGTTTTGTAACACAAGGAGCCAACAGTGAGTCCTCAGAAAGCTCCAGGATCTACAGCAGAAGCGCATAGCAGACACTGCGGCAAGCACCTCTGGATGGCCACAGGAAAGAAGAGATCAGAAAGGACTCCTCCCTTGCCAAAGGCCTTGTGAATCAGGGCGGGGGCAGAGGGTTATGCTGCTCATCATACTTCATCCTGCCAACGTGCAGCAACCAGGACTGGTTTTGTGGGACTCAGCGTTGACGGCAGAATGGGCAGAGCCCCACAGCACCGGAGACACTGCAACGCTGGTCACCAGCCAGCAGACTCTGCCTTCTTATTGGCAAGGTCTGGCTGAGGGAGGGCAGGGAGCGCAGCCCCGCGGGGCAGCAGGCAGGGTGCGTGGGTACAGGACACTCTCCAAAGCAGCTGCAGAGCTCAGGAGCGGCAGTAGGGCAGTTCGGAGACTCACTCACAGCAATGTCCACACATCAGCTGGTCCCTGGCACCCAAGGTGCAGGGCAGGGGAGGTGAAGCCACAGAGCACTCCCAGGGCTCAGCTATGGGTCTGCCGCCTGAGGGTCTGGCGGATTAGGCGCACCCACCCCCGCCCCCCGCCCCAGATGGAGATGTTACCATAGGACATGGGCAGGAACCATGGCTGCTAAAAGGGAGGAGAGGTGAGTGAGGCAGCCCAAACGCTGGGCTCCGCACACGGCAGGGTTTGGTCGCTAGTCTCCTTGCTCGGACGTGTCAGAGGGGTGCGAGGGATGCTCAAAGGAGGGAGGATACAGAGTGCGGGGAGGGAGGGGGGAACAGCTCCAAAAAGGCTGAAGCCAGGAAGAGGCAAGGGCACAGCCGGGACTCCCGTCGGCAGCTGCCCGCCCCTCTGGGCTCCCAGGAAAGCC